TTTTATGACCCTCATAGACTCGGAGGTAACAATCATCACAGCATTATGAGCAAATTAGAAACAAATACTCTCTTCTCATTGCTTTGATTTGGAAACCTTAAACGTGTCAAGGCTATAGTTTCGGTTGGGTAGATGTGACATGAAAGCTGTATCTTAATATATGTATCAACAATTTTGAGCCTATTATAAGTGCTACTTTTGTTTCCAGATTTTCTGGTAAATTTTTCATTAGTCCCCTTAGCACCAGCATATCAGAGCGCCATCCTCGGCCGCGGCTTAGGGGTTCGGATCTGTCAGACTTGCACTAAACCTTGCCCATCTTGCCATCCTCAGGCGAAATCCCGGTCTTTGGCCGCACTGGGCTTCGGTGAGGCTCTCGGTGAAGTCTCGGTAGACACCCCACCTCTAAGATCCACATGTTCTACACCGCCCGGCAAAAAATGTTTGGATCGCCAAAAATTTGGGAAATTTGTACCAAAAGTCTAGCTGGGCGAGTAGCTTTTGCGACAGTGCATTCCGATCATTGAACACTCGAACGGTGCCGAGAAGATGTCGCGCAAACAAATGTAAGAACTTTTATCAGAGAAACATGGATCAGAACGCGCTAATTGTGCATATAGTGACTCCCGCATCGGGGCGCTCATCGACAATGCGGTGCAGGAGAAGAAGCGAAGCTTTTTCGTGGTCGTTGGCGACCAGCAGGCCAAGGATGTCATTGTGAACTTGCACTTCATCATGTCGAGGAAGAATATTAAGCAGAACAAATCTGTTCTCTGGGCATATAAGAACAAGCTTCTGGGCTTCACAAGGTTCGATCCCGAAGCCTTTAGTCCCCGAGGACTCTGGGTGTTGTGCTGTCGCTAACAGTGTGGTGTGCTAGTCATCGCAAGAAGCGCGAGGCGAAGATTAAGAAGGAGATTAAGAAGGGAATCCGAGAAGCCAATTCCGAGGATGCTTTCGAGCTGTTCGTCTCGCTCCACAACATTCGCTATACATACTACAAGGAGACCGACAAGATCCTCGGTCAAACCTTTGGCATGTGTATTCTACAAGATTTCGAAGCCATTACGCCGAACATTCTTGCACGAACGATAGAAACAGTTGAGGGCGGTGGCATGGTAATCATGCTCCTGAAGGGAATGAACAGTCTGAAGCAGCTCTACAACTTGTCCATGGACGTCCACTCAAGGTATCGCACCGAGGCCCACCATGACGTTGTCGCTCGGTTCAACGAGCGTTTCCTCCTGTCACTGGGAAGCTGCGAGTCTTGTTTGGTCATCGATGATGAACTGAATGTGCTTCCCATTTCCGGTGGTAAGAGCGTGAAGGCTCTGCCTCCACCAGACAAGGACGACTCGAAGACCCCTGCGCAGCTCGAATTGGAAGCCATCAAGGATGAGAACCACGACAGACAGCCCGTCGGATCTTTGATATCTCTCGCCAGGACTGTTGACCAGGCCAAGGCCTTGATGACGTTCACTGAGGCCATTGCTGAGAAGACTCTTCGCAGCACTGTTACCTTGACGGCTGCTAGAGGTCGCGGTAAATCAGCAGCTTTGGGTGTTGCCGTAGCGGCAGCTGTGGCATACGGCTATAGCAACATCTTTATCACATCTCCTTCTCCCGAAAACTTGAAGACACTCTTTGAGTTTGTCTTCAAGGGGTTCGATGCGCTCGGATACGCCGATCACGCCGACTACTCCATCATTCAGAGCACAAACCCCGACTTCAACAAGGCCATCGTTCGTGTCAACATTCACAGGCAGCACAGACAGACGATCCAATACATTAGACCACAGGATGCTCACGTGCTTGGCCAGGCAGAGTTGGTGGTAATTGATGAGGCTGCTGCTATTCCCCTGCCTCTGGTTCGCAAGCTTATGGGGCCGTACCTGGTGTTCATGGCCTCTACTATCAACGGTTACGAAGGAACTGGAAGGTCGTTGTCTCTGAAATTGATCAAGCAGCTGAGGGAGCAGTCAGTGGCTGCATCGGCAAGCAATGGCGATACAGAGCTTGCAGACCGATCCACAGGTAGGACGGCGAAGTCTGGTGATTTCCAGGCCAGCCGCAAGCTACGTGAGATTTCACTAGACGAGCCCATCAGATACGCCCAGGGTGATGCGGTTGAAAAGTGGCTCAACAAGCTGTTGTGCTTGGATGCTACTCTGCCCAAGTCCAGATCCAAGTTCGGGTGCCCTGACCCAGAAAAATGCGAGCTTCTCGTAGTGAACCGGGATGCGTTGTTCTCCTTCCACCCTGTTCCAGAAAAGTTCCTCCAGCAGATGGTGGCGCTCTACGTGGCAAGTCACTACAAGAATAGCCCTGACGACCTGCAGTTGATGAGTGACGCTCCAGCCCATGAGCTGTTCGTCCTTGTCCCACCTTTGTCGGAGAACACAGGCGCCTTGCCAGAGCCGCTCTGTGTTATTCAGGTATCGCTGGAAGGTAAAATTAGCAGACAAAGCGTTCTCAACAGCTTGAGCAGGGGCCAGCGCCCCAACGGTGACTTGATCCCCTGGCTTGTCAGCCAGCAGTTCCAGGATGAGAATTTTGCATCGTTGTCTGGTGCTCGTGTTGTTCGCATTGCCACCAACCCCGAGTATGTGTCTATGGGCTACGGTACCAAGGCACTCCAACTGCTTACCGACTACTATGAGGGGCGTTTCGCCAGTCTCTCTGAGGATGACCAGATTATGGATGACCAGGCACGGCGACCAACGGATGCTGAACTTGCAAATGGCTCCTTAAGTGATGAAATTAAGGTCAAGGATAAGAACGAGATGCCTCCTCTTTTCGCCAAGCTTGACCAAAAGAAGCCCGAGGCCCTCGACTACATGGGTGTAAGCTACGGAATGACAACTCAGCTGCTCAAGTTCTGGAAGCGCGCCTCATTCTCCCCAGTCTATCTCCGCCAGACGGCGAATGACCTTACCGGTGAACATACCTGCGTGATGCTTCGGCCCCTCGACAACACTGCAGACAAGAGCTGGGCCGGTGCTTTCTCGCGAGACTTCCAGAAGCGATTCTTGTCGCTTCTTTCTTTCCAGTTCAGGGCGTTTTCTGCCGGTACTGCCCTGTCAATTGACGAGGCGGCTGTTCGTGGCGCACAGCTTGACACCACAGAGGTTGCGCCCCTGACCAAGCCAGAACTGGACCAACTGATGAGTCCGTTCGACCTGAAGAGGCTCGAGTCGTATGCCAACAACATGCTTGACTATCATGTTGTGCTCGACCTCCTGCCAATCATCGCTACCTTGTACTTTACGGGCAAGATCCAGTCCAACGTGAACATGAACGGCCCTCAAAAGTGCATCCTCCTGGGCATCGGATTGCAACGCAAGGATATCGACACCGTGGCTGCAGAGCTCAACATCGCATCTGGGCAGCTTCTCGCACTGTTTATCAAGATCATGCGCAAGGCAACCGCACACTTCGGATCTCTGGTCACAGCCGCCGCTGTCGCTGAGCTTCCTTCTACTGGTGACCTGGGAATCAGCCGGGAGAACGCAAGTGGTGTCCACGACGACGAGATTGTGGATGAGCGATTCGCTCCCCTTGCCGTCACGCTAGACGATGAGCTGGAGGAGGGTGGCGATGAGGCTCTCAGAACTCTTAAGCAGAAGCAGAGAGAACTGATTGATTCGCTACCACTTGACCAGTAAGTTATTTGTTCTATTTTCGAGATTCTTAAAAAAGTCGTCACAGATTATGCTAACGCTTCCTCCTAGATATGAGGTCGAAGGTGATGCTCCGGCATGGCAAGACGCAGAGAAGCAAGTGAGAAGCGCCGCCAAGGATGGTCGCTCCGCGGCTGAGGTGAGCGTCAAGTCTGCAAAGCAGAAGAGAAAGGCGGGCCAAACGGCAACTGAGGTGTACGAGGAGGCTTTTGGAGAGAAGTCGAGGAAGAAAGTAAAGAAGGGCAAGAAGGCCGCCTGAGTGGCATAAAATGGGGTTCAAAGCATTTCTGGGCGTTAACATTGGTGTCTCGTATATTTACTAGAGATTTGATTGCCGGTTAACCGGCCTTGTCAATAGAGTATCTTAGTTTGCTAGCTCATTGATTGTTAATATTTGATTGGATATTGACAATTCATAATGGTTTCGTTCGCTGCCAGCGTTTGTGAACATCCGGCCAACTCAGTGACTCTTTGTGCTTGAGTTATTACAAACAAGCAGCATCACTCCGACGTGATCCTGAAAATGGTACAATTATTGAGACGCGGGTAGTGAAATGCAGCACGAAGAAAGACTTGCCCCAAACCTAGATCCATTTGAGTTTAAGTCTACTGTTGGAGTTTCGCCCTGAGCTTCAAGATTGAAACATGCATAGGGGTTCTCGACACCTTTCTCTGCTACAGAGTTGAATGCCTTATAAAGCTATCTCAAACCCCTTCGACTTGTCACTCTCAGGGGGAAATCGACCATCCTCTGTGATCGTCATCCATTGTGTAGTTCGCTCAAACTGCAGATTCCCCAGCTCCCGCGAGACGAGTAGCTTGACCCTACTTGCCGCTTGGAGAACAATTGTCCATATGAGAATCCCCTTCATCATCTTCAGCACTGAGATGATATCTGTTCGAAAGGTTTCGATTTGCGGACAGAATTGACCAGCAACGACCGCCCAGCTTCGATTATACCGATCCTTGCCGAATCACCTCTCATCCGGTGCCATGTGTAACCAGAGAATCTTAAAGTGCAGGTTCTGTCAAAAGAATCTCCGTGAATATCGTGTGGACCGATGCAGTCGATACGTTGAGAAATGCAAGGATCGGATTGAAGCGAGCCCGGACTTGATGGCAATGGGAGCCACATGCCCTATCCGTCCAGAACTCTGGTTTACTTCCACTACATGTGGGAATCCAGCCTGCCAGCCCAGTTTTGAACCTTACTCACCAAGTCAAGAACATGCCGGCTTAGAGACGCGATACAATTCACCTTTACCTGCCAGCCTCGGAGAGCCTCTGGGCCTCTCAGGAGAAGTCCGATCGGATAGCATCATGAGCGTTGAAGACGAATGGAGGAGCGTACGTCCTGTCCAGAGAGGCAAGACCGAGGTCATATTCTGCAGAGACGAGAAGGGAAACTCTCTTCCGCCGAAGATCTTGGAGAGTGCTACTAGCGACTCACCGGAATCGATAGTCGACTATACTGGGTTCTATAAACCATACCTGCGTTGGCCAGGAGCGATTGCTCCGGACCGAGACTCTGGTCTGAGCTGCCCTCCGGCTGAGGATTGCCCGTCTAATGTTAGCGGAAGACTCAGGTCACACTCGCTCCAAGAAGGCAAACCTGGCAAACTCGAGGAGTCTTGGAATCTGCTCACCATGATTAAGAATTGGGTGTTCAATGACTATGACCCTCCGGCGAAAAGGGGTGGTTTAAGTCCCAAATCCTCAAGCCGCCACGAACACACACAGATCTCGAACACAGGAAGTCCCTTTTTCAGAGACTTGGAGGCTGGAATGCTGGGTCCCAGCTTCTTCGACTATTCTTCCGACGAGGAACTCGATACTAGCTTCCATACTGCACGTGATGAAAGCAGTGATTCAACCAATGAAACAATCTCGTTAGAACGTCTCTCCAGCCAGGAAACTCTCTTCGGGGACAAGGAGGCTGAGAAACTAAACGCAAAGCCACGAAGTCCCATGGAAAGCGGGTTCACCGAATGCAGTGTCTATGGCTTTTCTGGAAAGTCCCCCAAACTCCCCAAAGGCAGAGAGAGTCTTCTCGGAGGGGATGAAGATAAGCCCAGGAGGCCTTCCCCCAATGAGCCACGAGTCAGCAAGCCCTTCTCGAGGCTGATCCTTGAAAGCGACTGGGAGCTCAATTTTAGCCTAGGGGCCAGTCTATTCTATGACCTTGTTGAAGAACAGGGGCCGACGGGACATGTAGTAGGAGGGTCAACCGGTAAGATTGGAAACAACAAGGGAGGACAAGAGAAGTGAGGTAACAGAAGGACCGTGTGGAATTTCAGGTATTTATTTGTATATTACGCAGCTGTGTAACGCATAGATAATCCTGGAATTTCTTATTCTCTTGGTGCTTGGCAGGGCAAGTCGGTTCACTCAGGGGCGGAGAGAAATATCTCGTGATCTCTCCCTTTAGATCTAGACTTAGGATACTGCGTTGCCTTTAGAATATAGGTACATTCAAGACGGTCTACTCTCCTTTATTTCAATGGATGTTGGATAATAGGAGCATCCTTCTCTCTGCTACACGCCCCTCCTTACACAGTCACCGGGTAATTCTTTTCAGAGGATTCCCATGGAAAACAAATCCGGACGGCCTATTACGAACGTTGTTTGGCAATGTCGTTTCACAAATACGAGGGCTAATAACGGGACCCCTTCATCGTAGAATAAGACCGATGGGGAACATGAAGCACGGGGAGGGCTCTCCTCTTCTCGGATGCAAATCCGGCCATGGGGGCTATAAGACCCGCCCCCGTTTCTTTCTCCGCGGTTTGTTCTCCAGGATCTACGTTTGCTTCGGCGTCGCATTCCTATTACGGTAGGGAAGAAGGAGAAAAGGTCTCAGAACACATCTATTGATTCATAATGGGAAAGGTATGCTCCGTTAGTTCATGCGCATAAGAGGCCTACATGCGCGGATCCATCCCCACACTCTCCCAGCTGCAACCCTCCCAAGTGCGGCAGGTGATTTATCGAGGGATATGATCCTAGCAGGCCAGTTGCTTCTCCATCTCTATGATCTCCTCAAATTCGGCCATCTGTGACTCCAGCAGCCCGCCCTCGAGGAGAGCACAAGGCCGGCGCGGCTGCCCTCCATAGCTGTGATATCTCTGCAAGGCCGCTTTGATTGACACAAATCCACCCTTGATAGCCGCCCAATCTCCCCTGGCAACAACGCCTTGGAGCTGAGCAGCCTCTGCCAGCTTCCCAGCATGCCAAAGCCGGATCAGCTCCACACAAGCCCGAGGGGCCAGGTTTCCCAGACCGGCAATGACACCATGGCCACCTGCGGCCAGAGTTTGGATAGTAAAATCAGCACTTCCACCAAAAGTCCGGAACGAAGAGTCCTTGTTACCAGCCACAATCCTTGCTAGCTTGCCCGTGTTCCCACAGGTCAGCTTCACACCCACAATATTCGGGTGCTTTGCCAGCTCAAGAATGGTGTCGGAACTCAAATCAAGTCCCCCAGAGGCAGCCGGAAAGTTATAGATCAACACAGGGAGGGGGCTTGCATCGGCAACGCTACAGAAATGGTCAATGATAAGATCTGTAGTCAAGAGAGCCCCATAATAGGATGGGGGGAGGATCATGACATGTGTGCCACCGGATCCTGCGGCCTCTTGACATAGTTGGATGGTCTCGCGGGTGGACTGAGTACCACAGCCCACAATCAGGGGCATGTCCGGGACCCCCTCCTCTTCACACGTCTTCCTTGTGGTCCTGTTGATGAGTTGCCGCTCAGGATGACTGAGATGGACAGCCTCGCCGTTTGAGCCATGAGTGACGAGACCAGCAATGCCTGATCTGATCAGCTGAACGGTGTGGGATACCGTTGTCCCAATATCGATCGTGTCGTCCGAGGCGAAGAAAGCGACGGTGGGCACATATAATCCTGGGTTGAGTGGTGCGACTGGATGCAGGTTTCCTTCGTTTCCCTCGGTGGTTGCCATGATTGTAGATATTTGGTTCTAAATATTAGACCCAACGATTAAGTGATAAATGATTAGAGTTGTCCAGCTGAGGTACGAACAATGAAGATGAATCTCATGCTCCAGACCAAAGGAGGAGGACAGAGGACTTATTTAATACTTACTCTCTCCTCAAACTCAAACACATTACCGCTGCACCAGGTCCACAAAAGTGAAGTTGGCTATTCCGAATTATAGACGATAGCACCAAGCGCCGTTGGGTGTTACTCATAATCACAAGGGGCGGTGATGTGTGACCCCCACGCTCTCTGATAAGTCTGCTGCGCGTCCATGATTGTGTGATCCGGGGTCACAGACATGCATGTAGCACATTCGCACCGACATTGTCAGCCAATTCATCGGGCGAGTCTCTGGATTGATGCAGGTTGGACGAAGTGACTTGGGTGAGACAGAGAGCTAATCATCAATGAACTCCTTATCTCTCCATGTGCACTAAGAATCACTCGCAGATCGACAGTGACTGGTTAGCTAATGTAATTCGAGGTAGCAGTGGTTCCGGGAACAACTCGTTGCTCATTGTTGAATCAGCAAACAGAGCTTGGACAAGGCTTAGTCCAAGGCTGGCGAGATGATGATCTTCTCTCTGCATATCCAGGAGTATCGTCGGTCTTGGATGCAAGCAGACATTCGAGACTCCGCGGTCAGATGGCCATGCCTATCCTAAAGCGCTCGATGAATATGTAGAGTCACGGTCTTGACACCTAACCTGATTCATTGTCGCAGATAAAGTGGTAAAATACAGCATTGCACTTGACACAATAAGATGCTTGTCATCGCTGGCTGCTGGTGCTCACCGCATCATGTTTCACCTGACAGGCGCCAGCAGGCAGATAATGTATTGATCAGAAGATTCGGAGTCATAGATAAATGACCACCGATGCATCTTGATAACAGTTTGTGGGGCGCGAGGGGGCTGGGAGTCGAGGTGACGTGATGAGACGGGGTGAAGTGAGAAGATGGTGAGAAGGAACAGTTTGGTGACAAAGGGATTGGTCTGGCGGTTGGCTGAATCATCACCAAATTAATGTTGAGTGGGAGGCAGGAGGGGAGAACTGTAAGGTACTGTGTACCTTCTTGCTGTACGAGATCAGTCAGTTGGAGAGGTACCCTCTACCAGAACTCCCGAGGCTCGTCGCATCAGTGATAGGTGAGCAGGAGGTTGGAGCTCAGCAACAATAAGTAGCAGATGTGATAGGGCAGATACCTACCTCTAGCAGGCAAGAGTTTAGGTAGTAGGCACAGTAACAGAGAAGCGGCCCATTGCGGGAGGCGTACAGCCATTGTCAGTCTGCCGGTTGCCCAGTGAGAAGCGACCAGCCTCGCCACAGCTGGCACCAAGTGCGCTTCACTTCCAGCGCATACACCAGGACGACAATACAAGTCGCTCAATCCCACACCGCGCATTGTTATTCCAGGGCCATTTCCATCCCCAGCCTCTCTTCTTTCTTCTTTTCTTTTTTCTTCTCTTCTCCCTTCTCAACCAGTCTTGAATTTGTTTCCACTTCAGCGCCAACCAGCTTCATCATCCATCCATCCACCTCTGTCTTGCAAAAGAACACAACTTTGTCTCGAATTCGCGCGCGAACCTCCTCTTCAATCATCAACCCTTGCGCAACAGGATAATCGTTGTCCCAACAGTGAGAAGCACCTACGCTCTCGCGTAAGTGTCAACTTCCAGCTAAACATGCCTCAGAATCAACTTCCTGACACCGCTCGACCCGAACCACAGCAGCGCAAGCGTCCAGATCAAAGAGGCGAATCGCCAGCCAATGTAGAGAAATCGCCTTCACATCCGTCATGTGCAAGAACCAAGTGGCGCTCTGCCACTTCTGCCTCTTCCAACGGCACGTCAGCTGGAAGTACTGCCGAAACTTCTTGACCAACCTCATGGACCACATCCAAAGCGTGACGACCCCTCTCCCCAAGCCAGATGACTGCCCGGACGTGTCCTAGGAGGACACCATGACCATCGACATCCTGGCATGTCCCATCGAGGAGTGCGAGTCCACCAGGCTGGCAGTGATCAAGCGCGCCCAGATGGCGGTCGAGGCAGAGCGCATAAGAAAGATCAGAGAGGCCCAGATGCTGGCGGAGACGCGCCGCCGCGACGAGTTTGCGCGCCGATATCTGAACCCAAAGCAGCCCGTGCAGCCGAAGAAGCAGGCCAGCCTGCTCACCAAAACGTTCAAAAGGGGGTACTGCCTAGCAGTGGTCGAGGAATCCCAGAGCAGCTCCGGAACCCCCGACAGCGTCGCAGCATTGAGCTACTCGGACGATACCTCAAGTGCATCACGTCCCTCGCTTCCTCTCAGTCCCACTCGACCCGGGTCCCAGAGTTGTGACAGCCTCGTGGCCACTTTCTCGCCGCCCCGTACGTACGTCGAGGAGGCATTTCTATTACACCATATCGACGCCACCAAGGGGATGGGGAAGGAGTCTTTTTTCTGATTTATGTTCTGCATACAACTTCAAACTTAATGTATAATGGCTCGAAGCATGGGAAGTACTCAGCTTCGGGGCGTCATGGCGACTATTCTGGACCATTTGAGAAGACACTCCCGGCCTGCAGATACGGACGGAGCTTGGGAGGGAGTTGGGGTTTATTTCAAGAGGCTCGGTAACATCGTATCCAGCCAGGACCCAAGCTAATAGAGATGTCGTTCCACCAATGGGACGAATCTTGCGACAGACGGAGAGAGATGCTTGCTTATACGGACGATATTTTGCAGGATGGGCCGTGGATAATAGCATACACGCAGGCAAGCATTTTGACATGTTTTTTTTCAGTTAAGGGACGCGTTCTCCTTTAGCGCAGCGTAAATAGTTAATTGTAATTCTTTATTCTGCACGCGTTACAAACTCGATGGCTTGTGATCTTACAGAGGACTCGTTGATTGGCTCTTTTGCCGGCTGCCGGATGCAGCGGAGAGAGCCTACTGCAGGGGTCTTCTGCAGGTGACGTCGGGAGAGCATCGAGCAGTGGGTTTAGGGCATCCGGTCTGTGAAGCAGCATGCCCAAGTCCAAGTGGTCACAGAGATCTTGTTTGCTCGCGGAAACGGGCGCATTCTCTCTCCACATTGCCAATTGAGATGAAAACCCTCCCAATGGCCCGCTGCAGCACTGGCAGAAAATCCTGCCAGCTACATCTGATCATCTTCAACTGTGGGCTATATCCGGGGCAGCCTGTATGCAACAGTGGCTGGCCCGCCCGCTGTACCCACCTTGCCACCCACTACCCGATCCACTGGAGGGAGATGGCGCCCCTGGACGGTCCAAGTCCAGGGGTAAGCCATTGGCCAACCGGCGACCAAGAATTATGCCCTGCTACAATGCGCCTCTTCGGCACCCGCATTTAGGTCGTCTTTTTTTCGCCTCATTGATAAATAAAAGAGCTCAACCCTCCCGAAATTCACGCTCCTTTCTCCTCGGTTGCTCCGGGTCCTCTCCTTCTCGCGGCTGGTCTGATCAACGGTCTCGTCATTCTTTCCTTCTTCTCGCCGTTCTTCACCCATTGGGGGCAGCAAACTGCGATCCCAAAAAAAAAAAACCTCCCATCGCGAACCGCGTTCCCCAAGCCCGCCGCCATGTATACATCGACAGGCCTCGGCATCGCCATTGCCCTCCTGGGGACCGCTTCTGCCTTCCCAGCTGTTGAGAATGCCGCCGCCGCTCCGGCCATCACCGCGGCGCCCGTCGCTCTGGACAGGCGCTCAGACAGCAACCCGTCCGCGCCGTGGGTGTCCGTTGACGACGAGGGCCAGCCCGCCACCACCTACACGCCGCACATGGCAACCGACAAGGAGGGCTCAACCTACCTGGCCGACGCTCCCCCTTCCGTCCTGACCGAGACCGTCATCGTCCAGAACTACCAAGGCAACCTGTACACCTCCACCTACGCATCACCGCCGGCCCCCACGGCCACCAACTCGAACAAGCAGGGCGGCTTCACCCGATGCCACAACCTGGACGGCGACCATGCGCCATTGTGCGATCCCAGTGCCGACAGCACCTTGTACAAGGACACGACATACTATGGTAAGCAGCATTTTCCCTCAAAACCCCAATCTCATCAAGACAATCGCTAACCCCTCTGTGCAGTCACCTGGGACCCCGACTACTACAACAAGACCGAGGACAAGATCGACGCCAACACCACCGTCCTCATCTCCCTCCGCCTCGACTACTTCAACCGCACCACCCAGGACCACCCCGAGGGCGAGTGGACCAAGCTCACCGAGCTCGACAAGGTCCCCGCCGCCTGGGGCTTCTTCCCCCTCGAGGTCAAGAACGACTACTTCCAGGGCCAATCCCCCTACAACCTCACCGTCACTTTCATGAGGCACCTCAACAACTCGGGCGTCGTCACCTCCTCCACCGCCTTCAACCTCACCCTCGAGAGGTCCCGCCCCGTGCCCCAGAAGCAGAAGCACAAGATCGACAACCAGGACCTCATCATCGCCCTCCCCGTCACCTTCGGCAGCATCATCTTCCTCCTCATCGGCATCTGCCTCTGGAACCGCAAGACCCGCAGCATCCAGATCGGGAACATCATGGGCCGCCGCGCCCGCGGGTACCAGCCCGGCGTCGGCTCCGCGCGCCGCATGTTTGGCCGCAACAAGGATGAGGGCATCCGCCTTCAGGATCGTTCAGAGAGCCCTGCCTTCGAGTACCGTGACCGGCCCAACCACAACAGGCATGACAGTGATCTCGGCAGTCTAGTCGGCACCCCCGTCTCCACCACCTTCAAGGGTGCCACCGCACGCAGCAACCCTTTCAGGGATGAGCTTCGAAGGCAGGATGACCATCGAGGCGGCCATGCTCTTTAGGAGAAGCTCGAAGTTGGACATGCCGCATTAGATTTTCTTTTGAATTTGAATTTCAACAAAACTAGGTTTTAGACGAGTAGATGTATGCTTATGTACGTACCCTTATCACGCTTATGAAATAAAGAGTAGATTGAGAGCATGTTTTCCATTGTCAATTCCAAAGACCATGTTTCTCCCAACATGTGGAGTTTGGCACAAATCTCACAAAGGATTAAATGGTTGCCCCAGCTTGCTCATTGCTCATCCAGGTTATTATCCGACAAGGGGAACGCCATTTTTATACAGTGGGAAAAAGAAGGAGGAATTCATCAACTCCGAACGCCGCACCTGTTCAGTCCATTCCCACCCTACCCTACCCGTCTACCGGGCTTCATTATTTCATTCAAATCCTCAAGAATCCGTAGTACAACCAAATATATGCATCCATTGCACGCCACGCAGAGGTGCAGCCCTAGACTCCAAAATCGACTACAAAACGCAATGTAGACGGGCTTCTGCATACTCCAAACGCCAAGAATCTATCTCCATCCCAGATTGATCCGCAGAAAGATTTGATGGGGTATCCGAAAACAATCTAACATCAACAGGCCTATAAGTCAAAATTGGGCGCATTAGAAGACATACCACCTCTGATCCATTTAATCCTTTTCCGCGGTCGTTGTTCGGTGGATTCTTCGGAAGCGCTATCTTCTTCATCCAGCTCCCGTTTCGTTGAATCAGGCGAGTCGTCACTGTACGATGAGCATAAATCAAGCCGGTCTTCACCGTCCTCGATAATTCTCATGAAATCGCCAGGTATAGCGGTGGCCAATTGACAGCTACTGTCACATGGTTGGTATGTTTCAGTGCTCCAGGTCTCCTCGGCATAATTCTTGGCTTCCGCCAAAGTATATCCTGTACTAAATCCCTCGTGATATGCATCTGGAAGAATTACAATCGTCTCGCCAGGGCTTTGGTCAATCAAACGAAACGGAATGCCCAGGCGATTCAACTTTTCGGGAAACACAAACTCGGCACGATGCCTCATAAACTGCGAGCAGCTTTCTCTGCGGCCGAGCTGTTCCTCGGCAAGGCCAACTGCTGCGGAAGGTATGATGATCCAGATTTTTCGTCCTTTGTACAAATGGTTGAGAGAAGATAGGCGGAAGTCTTCGGCATGGAGCTGGAAGGTAGCACCGAAAGCAGGCCCAGACTCATAAACATAAGGTGTGTGAATGCCAGGAATAATGGCCTTGGTCAGATCGAGCTTGTCACCCTTCAACGGGTGAAGTGGGCTCTTCCCGGGTACCCCAGCTTCAAGCCTCTGTTCCAGGCTCCAAGCCGGGACATCAACTCGGTACCGTACGTCACGTATTTGACGATTCCTGCTTTTGGTGAAGAGTTTTGAAAGCCGCTTCGCGGCTTCTGTGGCGTTTCCGGAGAATTTGGGTTCTTGTACATCTGATGAAGACGGAAATTTGCCTGTTGTCGGTTTGGTATTTACCCGCCAAATACGAGACGGGCGGAGCAATTGTGGCGTAAAAGCATTTGCGTCAACTAGTTGAGCTGGCTTTTCGGGGATTTCTTCAAGGGCACCATCTGGGAGAACAATCTTGAAGCAACCATCAAGTTCCGCGTTGTGAGCACGCGCAAATGATAGAAGGGATGGAAAATCTTTCCACTGTTTCAACGTAGGTTTGAGGCGCAGAATATCGTCGCTCCCACTATCCCGTTCAAACTCGACATTCTCTTCCTCCTCATCCTCCTGGAACGTAAAAATGCTCTCATCAAATCTGTCGGAATTGAGAGTGCTAAGGCTATCAGTCGACGGAGATTCGCCGCGATCTAGGGATGGGAGAGTCTCCTCTGACTGTGTCGCCTCTGCTTCTTGCCGTTCACTCAAGTTGGCATCTTCCGCCGAATCTTCCGAATCCTTTTGGTACTGGTTGTGGATGATACCAGATGAATCACTAGCAGAAAATACCTCGAGACCTTCCAAGTCAATTTGCTGGAGACTCTGAGAAACGGCCTGCTCGGCCGTCGGAGGTATTGGAGCTGGTTCAGTGAACGGAAGGATGGAGGCGGAGGCCTGTTGGTTCGGTTCGGTATTTTGTGCCTCCAGGTTACTACTATCACGAAAGCCGAAATCAAATGCTGTCCCCAAAATTGGTGATGGATTTTGTTGCTTTTCGACGACTTTTAGACTGGGAAGAGATGTATCACTTGGACGCCCTTGAGATATGGCGGCGCCAGTGAGCCTGTCTGAACCTAAACTTCCGGGGTTCAATATGCCAGGAGATTGCGCCTCGGGGGGTATTCGAACATCAGAAGTTAGAGGCTCTTGGAGAATCTGTGGCTGCTCGAGAACCTCTGGGTATGGTAAAGCATCTACCGGCGATAGTGCGCTGGGTGTAGGTGGACGGGGAATTTGCGGGGGGGTTGTATCCTGGGGATTCCATGATTGCAAATGCTCCGGGTCAGGTCTTGATAATGTCCGTAGGTCGGGGTTTCCTGGAGCTGGTACTTCCTGCTGCTCACTGGTGAGGTTCACAGATGACTGCTGGTTCCCTGACTTCTGAGGTATTTCATGTTCAAAGCGATAATCCATCATTTGGGGAGATTCTATTCTCCCCACCTCCGCCTGTGGCTGTTCAGCGGTGGACAAAATTCGCGGTTCTTGCGCCATGATGGACGATGAGAATTGACGTTAAGGTGGCCTTAAATCAACGGGGCGTCCACCCACTTGGGAGCCCCCGCGCACAGTTCTCCTATGCTTAGGTCCTTGGAAGACTCGGTCCTCTCACGAAAGTACGAAACTGAGGGTTGGATTTGTGGATTGCTGATGTCAGAGCCCAGAAGTTGCGCTGATGGATAAGATGAGATAGGGTAGGGTCAAATCAGAGGGGCGAACGTGGGGTCGCAGGAGGCTGAGGATAGGCACATGCACATGATGCCAGGCGACGGACTTGGTGCCTTTTATTAGTTCCTGGGCGGTGCTGCTTCACAAAGACGACAGGCCTAATGGCATTGACGGGAAGCTGAGCAGTCACCTGAGTATGATGAACGGTGGTGAGCGCAAGTGAAAGGGAGGAACGGCAGTGGCACAAGGAAAAAACTTGTTGACAAAGCCACACCACAACAAAGGCCACTCGATCCTAAATTTTCTGGGTCAGCGCCATTTGCTTCGGAAGCGGCGAGTCAAGCCTTGGGACAGAGGGGGGTGAGAAGGTGTGGGGAATTCGGTTGTGTAGCGCAGTAGGTGGTGCCTATGGCGCTGTAGCTCTGTACTCCTGAGGTCAATATTGCAGGCGGTACTTTCTATCGTCATACCCAGCAGGTCCAAGGCGATGTACCTGCCTCCCTCCCCAAGTACCAACCACATTTGGAAGCAGCCATTCACCATCAAGGAGGGAAGGAGAGTGGATATTATCAAAGGGACGGCGAGAGAATGTGGAGGGAATAAACCTTGCCTAAACCGGCAATTTGCCTTGGAAGGAGGAAGGTCCTACCTACCGATATGGTTGAGGCAGGTACATTAGGAGAGGTCTATTAACCACTGGCATTCACTGCCTGGCTCGCGCAGTGACGGTCAGTGTTTGAGTCCCAAGTACCCTTCTCACTAGAGGTAGGTAACTTTAGCTAAGATACCTGTAGTCTCACCTGGAGACAGACAGCCAGGCCGGTGCATCGGCGCCTGCGCGAGCGGTAACAGGCTGGGATGCGCAAATGTTCTAGAGGCAGCCAGGTACACACTCGGACCGCCTGGATGCATCGGTACAAGAAACAGCTTCTCTTTTTCCTTTGGTTAATGTATCTCCCTCCTCCAGCGTGGACCAACTAGAGCCAAACATCAAACAATAGAAGGGACCTTGTTCACTTCACGGACTCCCTAGTTAGTAGGCACAAAAATGATAAGAACATGCACGCAGGCGCTTGTTAAACTTGCAATACACAAACTACTAGCGGTGGCGCGTGGCCAGGCGAGACATATGAAACATCAACGCTTGTCGGGACCGCTTTGGCCCCCTTCGCAGCCAATCCGTCTTGGGAGGCAGCTGGGTGATACGCCGTCAATATGGCAGCTACTCAACCCTTCTTTCTGTCAGGCCGTGGTTCTAGCCGCCTACGAGGAGATTGCTTGTGCTAGTGGAAAACCTGCGAGGTAACACTCTCGTGGAATTCTCAATGCCTCTTCTTTCGCATGTTGATGTAGTATCGAATGAACAGCATATGTATGCGCCTTTGAATCCCCCCCCCCCCAAAAAAAAAACAAAGGATATCGGAAAAAGCAAGGCCTGCATCGGGACACTGGCGAGATCTAAGACACCACTAGTTTTCCTGAATCCTGAGATAGTTTGATGAGCCGAGCTAGTCTACGGCACCGTAGAACAAACCATGCAAATAGAGATATCTCTACATTGAATGCGACTCACTTCATCATAATACGCGACATCCTTTAGACATTCCTGAACATACAGCTGAGAACGAGAGGAGGGGAGCGTGTGGCCCTCCTAGTCACCCCTAGACTTGTAGTTCTCCGCATGATTATACTGACGCCCCATGGCATCTCATGATACCGAGGCGGGCGGCTGTAGAAGGAGATACCTCTGGTTCGGTTTGCACGATAGGATGGATTCTTTCAGCGATGCCAAGTTGTATGAAGTACTTTTGCCTAGTACTATGGACGTGTCTGACCTGACATCCACAGCAGGCGATGTGATCTTGTTTGCCATTTCCGATTGGGAACTGGATAGACCAAGAGACTAGACTAAGACTATTGTAATAATATAATTGACAAATAACGCCAGCTCATATAACGCCAGCTCATGAGCACATCTCTACCCAACCCAATGATGCCCGTGTACTGTACAGCCCTCCGGTGTGATGATGATAGAAGAACAGTGGAGGGCATCCCACGAGAAAACCCTATTGTTACGCTGCTGCGAAAATGCATGTTCGCCAGTCTTGAAAAAGAAGAAGTCTCATCTCAACAATGTGATGATGAGAAAAGAACTGGCGGTGGTTGAAATAGTGCTGATAAAACATACTCGCTGTGGGACTGAAATATACGTTTGTTGGGTACAGACCAGAGTTCCCAGACACTCCGTGTTGGTATTCGCAAGAATAGAATGAAATTATGTTTAAAAAATGTCGAGTAATGTCCATGTGATACTCAAACTCCGGGGCAGTTAGGGAATAACGGATCATTAGGCTCATTCAACCGTGGATATGGCCGTAGGAGACCATTGAATCTTCATGCTCAGAATTTGACGAAAAGGTCATTCGCATTATTCATGGTGGGAAAATGCTCTGACGGCTATTGACCGCACAGCGCATTGTGTGACTTATTATCACCAAGTACCTCTTGGTGATGCGAGATATTAGTATCCCTTCATGCCTGGATAGCCCATACCGGCCCCGCCCCTTGCTGAGTTTGGATCAACAGACTCACGAGGGGAGGTAATGGGACTATATGCTGATGAGTCGGCGCTGCCGCGCAGGCCCCCCAGGCCTTGGAATGGGGGTGGAGGGGGGAATTCACCGCGTGGGCTTGAGATATGAGTTGTACTTCGGGGTGAGAAGAACCCCGTAGACTCAACAGGAGTTACGCTGCCCTCGTCATCTTCTTCCAGCTCATCAGCGGGAGTTGGTCGGATTTTGACAACCCGGAGCAACTCAACAATGGCTGCAGTCAAGTTCGAAGCCGCTGCGTCAAGCAGGGAGACTGGAGAAAGGCCGGCACCGTTTGCAAAGTTCTTCGAGGCAGTGATGAGGTTGTTGGCGGTTGTTGAGATTCGTCCCTTGAGCTTTGGTTTCTGCTCAGCAAAATCGTCGCTGTTGGGTGTTGCCTGATCGATGTCTTTCGTAATGCGCCGAACATTGACCACAACCGACTTCATAGCATCGATTACCCTTTCTGGGTTGTCATTCCTCGCTCTCTGCATCAGCTCGTCGATGGATATCTGGAACTTTGTGACGTGTAGATCCTTTACCATTCCAACTTCGTCGACAAATCCCTTTTCGCGGACCATGCTGCCAGCCTGGTGATCAGGAGTGAGGCCATTCGAGGGGGCCCTCATGTCTCCAAGCTGAGTTTTGGCACGCGCGTAGAGTCCCTTCCATTCTCGAACATCGTGTTCAAGCTGCTCAACCGACCTTTCAAGCTCCAATTGCTTCTCGTAGTTCGCATTACTCTTCTCTGAAAGTATCCTCATCTCTCTCAAGAACCCTTGCGCTTCTTGTCGGACTTGTTCTGTAGTTTCTCGTAATGTGCGATTCTCCTCAAGCAGCGTGTTGTCCGCCTTGCTTGCTGTTGAATTTTGCTGCAATTCTGTAATTTGATTTCGGAGATGATTTGTTTCATCTTCTTGGTCTTCTCGCATCTTTTCTAGCTCGTATTTCATCGATTCGTTGAGATTCCGTGCCTCTGCCAACTTGTTTTCCAGACCAGTTCGCAGGTCATCCCATTCGGCCTTCTCAGCACTCGCGCGGGAGGCCTGAGATCGCTCTGTTTCAAGCTCGCTATCCTTCTTCTTCGCTTCTGCTTCCATATTCTCGATCTTCTCCTTGAGCTCTTGGACTTGCGATTGGTAGTCTGCTATTAGTTTTTTGTCCGCCTAGCATTCCCCGTTAGTGTACTTGCAGAAGAGGATTAGCATCTGATGGATACACACCTCTGAAGTCTCGCTGCGTCCCTTATTCTCTTGCTCTGAGCCCGCAGCCTCGCCCTCATCGTCCTCTTCGACCATCGTGCTCTTATTCGGTACAATAGTGTTACTTTGGTTCAGCTGCTTCGGCATAGGGCGTCCCATCTGGCCACCTGGTAAAACAGGGGAAGGGGGCACTCCATAGACATCAAGCGGCGGTGGCCCTCGAATCGAGCCCGCATCTGATGGCTGTCGCATCCGGCTGAGGCTTTGACCTCTGGGAGGATGCCCATAGCCGTTCGGAGGACCAACAGGAGGACTGCGCATGGACATGCCGCTGTTCCCCCGTGGAATTGCAACCCCCACAAATCTTGGAAACCTCCTTTCCAACTCATGACATACATCTTGTATCAGGTCTCGGAACCGCGGTGGCCCCAGAGATGACAGTCGCTGTCGGGCCTGATTTCGCTTCGGGTGGAACCCTTCCTCTGCGACAAGGAAACGCGGCGGGGCGTTGGGGGCGTCTGGGGGGACTCTTGCAGCGGCTTGTCGACGGGTCAATTCGTCGTAGACATCTGTACTGAGCTCGAAAAACTGGTCGAAAGAGAGTCGCAATAGCTTGTCACGGGCTTTGTTCAAGGGGCCCTTGTTGTTTGGATCACGGTGCATGAGGAACAGCTTCAGCGCACGGTAGTGCTCGCTCATGGTGGCCTCGTCTTGAAGTTCATTACGCGGTGAGTTGAGGGTACTGTTGCGGCCACTTTCGCTTCTAGCATATATGGCCGTGCCCATACTCGAGCGGCCAACCGACGCCGGTGGTGATGGACCCCCATTGCTGCGAGGGCCGCCAGGAGAGTAGCCGTTGATACTCTTTGCGCTATTGGAACCCCCGGATGAAGGTGGTGAGGCCAAGTTTCCCCTGTTGTTCAGAAAGGGGCGGTCGTCGTGGTATTTCGCGGTTGGCCATTCACTTCCGCCTACAGAGACAGGAGAGAGCGGTGCATTGCGGCCAGAAATGCTCATGGTCGAGGGGTGGGAG